CCCGACCTCAGAAGCTAAGCAGGTTCAGGCCTGGTTAGTACTTGGAGGGAGGACCACTTGGGAGTCCTGGGTGCTGTAAGCTAGTGACAGAGAGAGAGAGAGAGAGAGAGAGAGAGAGAGAGAGAGAGAGAGAGAGAGAGAGAGAGAGAGAAAGAGAGACAGACAGAGAGACAGACAGAGAGACAGAGAGACAGAGAAAGAAATGGCTTCCGTAGACTGGAGGGAGGGTCCACATGTGCTACTCACCGACCCTCGTTTACTGGTTTTGGGGACTCTGTGGGCTTTAATATTATGTGGTTAAATGTATCAGAATTTTCTTTTCTTGCTTCAGCTGTAGTCATTTCTTACTCCTAGTTCCAAGAAGCTCCAACCTCTTCCATTCAGGGCCCCCATAGCTCCTAAATTTGTATTTAAGGGGGTTTGGCCCTTTTAGAAATTACATCCAAGAAGGGAATAAAAATCATGGATAATTCCAAGGCAGAGTGGGTACTCTTGCGTCTTGGGTGAATGTGGGTCTGGCGTGGAGAAAGTCAGGAGGAGTTTAAGGCCCTTTCCGCATTCATATTTCCAGGGCAAGTCTGCATTGTTCTCTAGGACGGGGTGTTCTCGAGACAGAGGTGAAAGGAATGAAGCCATCTTAGTGATTATATTGTAGAAATTCTGTTTTGGGAGTGTGCTTACCTTGCAAATAATTTTCGAGTAATTTCAGTTTTTTGCTTTGCTTTGTTTTGAATCAGGGTCTCATATAGCTCAGGCTAGCCTCATAGTGAACTATGTAGCCGAGGATCAACTTCCATTTCTGTCTCCACTCCTGATTGCTGGATCATAGGCATGCACCACCATGCACAGTCCATGTGGTTGCTGGATCATAGGCATGCACCACCATGCACAGTCCGTGTGGTTGCTGGATCATAGGCATGCACCATCATGCACAGTCCGTGTGGTTGCTGGATCATAGGCATGCACCATCATGCACAGTTCATGTGGTTGTTTGGAATCAAACTCTGGACTTTGTGTGTGCTAGGCGACTGAGTTACACCCCAGCCCTTAGGCTTTTTTGTTTTTGCTTTGTTGCGATGCAGTCTCACTACATAGCGCTGACTGGCCTGGAACTCTCTATGTAGACTAGACTGGACTTGAATTGACAGAAATCTGCCTGTCTTTGCCTCCCAAGTGCTGAAATCACAAACCCAGCCCCTTTCAACTTTATGTAAAAGATTAAATAGAGTCAAAGTTAGCTCCTGGACATCATACTTTTCAGCTGAATGCTTACATTTATTTATTTAACACATTTATTGAGTCTTTTGAGGCCCTAGGAACCCAGCAGTCAACAACACACAAGGTTCTTTACTTCCCAAGACTTAGCTTCTGGTGAAATAAGGCTACAGAACCCCCCAAAGACGAGGAATTAGTGGCTAGTCACTGTCATTGGAAACGGTGTTTGCAGACCACATCTTAGGAGAAACAGCCGAGACTAGAAGGATGCAGAGTCGGGTGTGGACAAAGCCAGGGGAGAGATGTCCCAGGTTTTGGGACAGCAAAGGTCCAGGGGGAAGCGGGTGCTGGCTTGGGGGGACTGCAGATCTGGCATGGAAAGAGTTAAGCTGTGGAGGTGGCGGAAGTGAAGGCCAGGCAGTCAGGACCTAACGCTGCTATCTTAGTGTGCTTCGGGACTCTCTTAGCCCTTCTGTCAGAGTTTCTCTGTTCTTCCGCAGTATACTGTAGACGAATTTCTAAACGGTCTTATTAAATAAAAACCTGGAGCCAGATATAGGGGTGAAAACCTGAGAGATCAAAGGAATAGGAAAAAGCCACAAGCTCACCTCACTTCACTGACACCTCAGTCTCCAAAGAGACGTACTTCCTGTCTACCCACGCCAGATGCCTTTCTGTTCTCCCTCATTTGCTTTCTCAGCCCAGCTACATTCCTCTTCCTGCCCAGCGCTGTCACTTCCTGTTACAGACCTCCAGACCTCTATGGTTAGTGCTAGGATTAAAGGAGTGTGTCACCATGCTTGGCTTTGTTCCCAGTGTGGCTTTGAACTCACAGAGATCCAGACAGATCCCTGCCTCCTGATTGATAGGATTAAAGGCGTGTGCTATCATTGCCTAACTTCTATGTTTACTATAGTGGCTGGCTTTTTCCTCTGATCCTTGCATAAATTTTATTGGGGGACACAATACATCACCACAGTACACTGTTAAATCATTCCTCAGAGGGGTGACACCAGAGAGAAGCAGCCAGTTGCCATGCTAGCTCTGTGGTTTGTGTTGTGACACTTTGGCTGGGACCTAGGTGCCCCTTAGCAGGTTGGTTTATGTATGTTACTGTAGGTGAAGGAGCTGGAGGTCCAGTGACGGGGTGGAGAGACAGTCCCCATGTGCAGTGAAGAACAGGTCTGGCCAGCACAGGAAGAGCCTGAGGGGTCTGACGGTGGTGGTAGATGCTTATAGTCTTAGACCTTGGGAGACTGAGGCAGAAGCATGAGTGGGAGGCCAGCCTACATAGACCTTGTTATCAAATAAAGAAATAGGGGTCTGGTTTATTGCTGTTAGTTCAGATGGTTCTAGAGCAATGGTTCTCAACCCATGGGTCACAACCCCTTGGGGTTGACTGACCCTTTCACAGGAGTCACATAATCAGATACCCTGCATATCAGATATTTACATTATGATTCATAACAGTAGCAAAATTACAGTTATGAAGTAGCAACAAAAGTAATTTTATGATTGGGGGGTCACCACAGCATGAGGAGCTGTATTAAAGGGTCACAGCATTAGGAAGGTTGAGAACCACTGTTCCAGAGGCTTCTGCAGAGTCCCTCACCACCGTTTCTGCTACTCAGGTAAAGGGCAGCATAGGACAGGCAGTCAGGACACAGGCCCTGCAATGTCCAGTTAGCCCACAGGGTGCCTCAGCACAGTCCTGGGTAAATGCCACCCTTCCATTAATGAAAGGGTTGTCATACTGTACCGTTTTTGTTCAGGAAGAACCCTTTAAAAAATACAGAAACTGAGCCAGGGACACATAAATTCAAATTTCTAAAAAATAAAACAGGAACACAGAAAGTCTACAATATGAAGGTGTCCCTTAGATGTGGTGGCCCTTAGTACTATAGTCTGTGGACCAGAGGTGGTAATCCCACTGGGATCCCAGACTTACTCCAGCTCGGTGGTCCTCTGCCTTCCCACCCCGTTGCCACGGTAACATGTGTCTCCCCTCCATGTCTCCCGGGAAGGCGTCAAGACTGGTCGGAGGCCTTACACTGGTACAGCACAGCCCTGGGGACGACCGACTGTGACGAAGGTGGAGAGTATGATGGCGTGCAGGACGAGCCCCAGTACGCACTGCTGGCCAGGCAGGCGGAAATGCTGTTCACCGGAGGATTTGGGCTGGACAGGAACCCCCAAAGATCAGGTGAGGCCCACTGACCTCCTTCCCTGGGGTAGGATAGGGCTGGGGAAGGTCCGTCGTTCTCACTCTCCTGGAATGAGGACAAGTTCCCAGATGAGGGGAGTCTTTATGGAGCTAGTATGCAGACGAACACTTCATTTTTACTTTATCATGTTTTATTTTATATGTATGAGTGTCCGCCTATGTGTGTGTATGCCATGTGTGTGCCTGGTACTCTCAGAGGCCAGAAGAGAGTTGAATCTCATGGAACTGGAGTTACAGGCGGTTATGAGCTGCCATTTAGGTGCTGAGAATTGAACCTGAGTCCTCTGTAAGAGCATCTGATACTCTAACTGCTGAGCCATCTCTCTAGCCCTGATGGGGGTTGTTTTTTGTTTGTTTGTTTGTTTTTTGTTTTGTTTTGTTTTTGAGACAGTCTGACTGTATAGCTTTGGCTGGCCTGGAGCTCACTGTATAGATCAGGCTGGCCTTGAAATCAGAGAGATCCACGGGCTGTTGCCTCCTGAGTGCAGATTTGAAATGTGCACTACTATGCCTAGCAAGATTTGCTTTATTTTTAGTTGTGTGTGTGTGTTGATGTGAGAGAGAGACCTGAAGAGGCCACAGAGCATGTTGGATCCCCGGAGCTGAGGTTATAGGTGGTTGGGAGCTACCCCACATGGATACACAGAGAACTGAACTCGGGTCCTCTCCTGTTAACCCCTGAACCATTTTTCTAGTCCCACACATTTTTATTTTAATTTTGTATTATGATTGTTTCCTTTGTAATTATTCACTTTTAAAAGCAGGATGTGTGATCCCATCCTTGGGTCAGCAAGGACAAGCGGCTGCTGAGAGCTCGCCGGTCGGCCAGTCCAGCCGGAATAGCAAGTTCCAGGTTCTGTGGGAGAGACCCTGCCTCAAAAAAATGAGGGGACAACCAAAAGGCGGTTCTGAGGTCACCCTGATAACCTAAGTTTGATCATCAGAACCCATGTGAAGGCGGAAGGAGAGAACTGACTCCATAGAGTTCCCCTCTGACTCCACACCTATGCCTTGGCACATTCGGCCCCTCATGGTACTTAAAAAAAAGTAAGGGGGCCAGAGAGACAGAAGAAGGCCTCAAAATATATGTATGTAAATTAAATAAGAATATAGCCAATCCTCCCAGTTCATAAGTCTTGCATCCCTAGACTGAGAGACTTACTACCACCTTTACTTATTTTGTGTGTTTGTGAATGCATGTGCACACCACAGTGTGAAAACCAGAGGACAATGTGTGAGAGTCAGTTGTTTCTTGTACCCTGTGGGACCCAGCGATCAAGCTCGGGTCGTCAGACTTGGCAGTGAGTGCCTTTAGCTGCTGAGCCATCTCGCCAGCCTCCCCCATTGCGCCTGCAAAGCTTGTTGTGATGGTGCACACCTGTAACCCCAGCGCTGAGGAGGCTGATGGAGAAAGATGCCAAGTTTCAGGCCAGCCTGGGCTACAGAGACCCTGTCTCAAAAAAGGAAAAGTAGTTGCATCTGTAACTGAGCATACATAGACTTTTCTTGCTAGTCTTCTCCATATTTGTTACTTTTCTGTTGCTGTGATAAGAGTACCCCAACAAAATCAACTAAAAGAAGAAAGGATTTATTTTTCACATCCAGAAGGGATTTTGGCTTACAGTCCCTTATCGTGGGGAAGCTTGGCATCCAGAGCCAGAGACTGGCCCAGCAGTGAGGAAGCAAGATGATCAGATTCCACCTACAAACAGTGCCGTAGTTAGGGTTTCTAGTGCTGTGAAGAGACACATGACCAAGGCACTCTTATAAAGGAAAACATGTAATTGGGGCTGGCTTACAGTTCGGAAGTTTAGTCCATTGTTGTCATGGCAGGAAGCATGGTGGCATGTAGGCAGACATGGTGCTGGAGAGGTAGCTGAGAGTTGTACATCTGGATCTGAAGGCAGCAGGAAGAGAATACTACAGTGGGCCTGGTCAGAGCGTTTGAGACCTCAAAGCCCACCCCCTGTGACACACTTCTTCCAGCAAGGCCACATGTCCTCCAACAAGGCCACACCTGATAGTGCCACTCTCGATGGTCCCCTGGGGGCCATTTTTATTCAAACTACCACCCACAGGAAGCGGAGACAGGAAAACAGGAAGTGAGTCATGCTATAAAACCTCAAAGCTGGCCTACTTCCTCTTGTAAGGCTCTACCCTCCTAAAGGGTCTATACCTTCCCAAGCAGCATCACCAGCTGAGGACCGAGTGTTCAAATTCATGAGCCTGTGGGGGAACATTTCACATCCAGACCACAGCATTCAGTGAACAGTGCAGCACATCACCGTCCATGACACCTGCACTGAGTCTGGCATTTCGAGTCCTCTTGGAGAGGATTAAAGCCAAGAGGAGAAGCTGCAGAGGCCATCCGTAAACATGACACACTCTCACCAGGGGACTGGAGCAGATTTTGCTACCATTGGTGGATCCTGGAACCAACCTCCCGTGAATTGATGGGCAGGTTTTGCAATTTGAAAAATGAAGCTGAAATTGTAACATTTCATCTTCCCTCATTGTTACCTAACTTTAAAAATTTGCACACCCGGGGCTGGAGAGATGGCTCAGAGGTTAAGAGCACCAACTGCTCTTCCAGAGGTCCTGAGTTCAATTCCCAGCACCCACATGGTGGCTCATAACCATCTGTAATGAAATCTGGCACCCTCTTCTGTATACATAATAAATAAATAAACCTTTAAAAAAAAAAAAAAAAAATTTGCACACCCTAAGAGAAATCCTCTATGACTAGTTAGCAGTCACTTCCAGACTCCCACCTCTTCCCATAATCACTAATCTACTCTGTCTTTAAGGATTGGCCTATTCTGGACTCAGTTTACAAGTGGAATCCCACAATATGTGGCCTTTCCTGTCTGACTTCCTTTAGTAGGTAGACTTTACAGCCTCTCATCCCCTCTGCTTGAGACAAGGTCTTGTATAACCCAGCTGGTTACAGACATATCTCAGCTTGTATGGTGATTGCAAGCATGTACTACCTTACCTGGCCCATTCCTTTTATAAAAGGAAAAACATTTTTAAATTTTATTTATTTATTTGGTTTTGTTTTGTTTTTCAAGACAGGGTATCACTATGTAGCCCTGGCTGTTCTGGAACTCACTAGGTAGACCAGGCTGGCCTCGAACTCAGAGATCTGCCTGCCTCTGCTTCCCAAGTGCTGGGATTACAGATGTGCACCACTGCGCCCAGCTGAAAGAAACTATTTTTATCATCTATGTATGTGTGCATGTGGAGATCAGAGGACGACCTTTGGGGATTGGTTCTCGTTCCACCATGTCAGTCCTAGGGATTAAACTCATGTCATCGGTTGTGACAGTCTTTACACCCTGAACCTCCTCACTTCTTCTATTACTAAATCATATGCCACTCAGTGACTATCACATTTTATCTACTGTGATCTGATGGGACATGTTAGATTTCCTAAAACTTTTAAAAATTTTACCATTTTTATGGATGTATATGTGTGAATGTATACATACATGTGGAGGCCAGAAGAGGGTGTCGAGTCCCCAGAACTGGAGTATCTGCCCAGTGTAGATTCTGGGAACTGAGCTAAGGTCCTCTTGAAGAGGAGCAAGCACTCTAGGGTTCTGCCTGCATAACTGCACGCCCGAAGAGGACACCCGATCTCATTACAGATGGTTGTGAGCCACCATGTGGTTGCTGGGAATTGAACTCAGGACCTCTGGAAGAGCAGCCAGTGTTCTTAACCCCTGAGCCATCTCTCTAGCCCCCAACATTAGATACTTTTCAGTTTTGAGCTGCTATATAGACTGGTTGCCTTGGACTTCAGGTTGGGGGTGTGGCTCAGTGGTAGAAGTCTTGCCGAGTTCCACAGCAATACTAGAGAAGAGAAGAGCACTCTAGCTGGCCAGGTTTGGTCATAGGCACTCACAGAGACTTGGATCATACCATACATGTTGGGTTGCTATAGCAACCTCAGATACTCTTTTGGATGAGATGAACTTTGCCAGCTTGATGAAGACAAGTGGCTCACCTCTTTGTTTCCACTCTGCTCTCTTTCAGGAGACTTGTACACCCAGGCAGCCGAGGCAGCGATGGAAGCCATGAAGGGCCGGCTAGCCAACAAGTACTATGAAAAGGCGGAAGAGGCCTGGGCCCAGATGGAGGAATGACTGTCCCATAAGATCACTGCCAGCTGGTCCCAAGCAAAAGGACTGGGGGTGGGGAGAACGGGACTGATTTCTTTTAGAAGGGGAGCAGTTTTACTATGTTATAAATTCACTTTTGTATTTCATTTTTTTGATTCTTGACAAACTAAATCTTTGCAACTGGCAGAGACACTGTAACTGCCCTTTGGGGTGGCATTTTGGTGGGGGGAGTAGGGGGTTGAATATGCAGCCTAATAAATTACCATATTTTTTGAGGTTCCATTTTCCTTTCTTTCTTTCTTTCTTTCTTTCTTTCTTTCTTTCTTTCTTTCTTTCTTTCT